GTCACCAAATATTGATACTCTGGGAATATAACGAACAAGAGGGTTCATCACATGCACCACCATCCTGAGATGATGTTAGCTGAGCAAACTTGCATTAAATTCAATAAAATTCCCATTTAATTGATGTATCATCTGAAGCAGATTGAATGTAATTCAATCGCAGACTGATGACAGATTATCTCCGTCTTAATGCAACAAGTTTATGGCCAGTTTTTACTGAGAGTAATTTTACTGCATAACTTTTTACTGCAGGAAAAAAACTACCTCAACTGTCTGCTAGTTCGACATACGCTTGAGAAACATCACTGTCATTATAAGAACTGGAAAGGAATAACACAAAAGCAAAAAACAGCAAGGACGGTTATGGATGAGCAAAACTGGTGGGTTGGTGGTTCTATCCTCTACTTGTCTAGTCTGCATGTCAATGTATCCTTGGTCCACATACTGAACTCCCAGTTGCCGTTGATGCATCCATTGGAGTGTCATGTGTGCATGGTAGGTTAAAAATGCTAAGGCGTAGAAAAAATGTTTACGAAAGCAGGTTAATGAATGTGTTTGTGAATAAGTGAATGAGGCTCGTAGCAAGATGGGGCTTTAAATGCTCAGAGTAGAAAAACACTATATAAGTACGGGTCTGTTTCATTCATTTCATCTCTGTTGTACTCACTCTGTCACTGAGTCTTGGAACCAGACCCAGAGCTCAGCCCCAGGTGGGGATGGTATAAAGGGTTGCCCCCACTGCATGGTCCTCCAGTAACCTTGTGTAAAAGAGATGTGCAGCTCTCTGACTGAGAACTTGGAGATGACCTGGCCCAGAGACTTGGGAAAAAGCCGGTAGTGGGACACTGAGAAATGTAACAACGTGGTTTAGCGTTAGAAAGACCAAACATTGTTGTAATTTTGAGAACAGGAGAAAGAAAATCTTATTGAATTAATGTGGAGTGTATTAAACTCGTATAATATTTCCAATAATGTATAAACACTCCTGAAACCAACTAAACAGGAACAGACGCAGATTTTAACAGGAAGTGGATATCAATAAATCAACAAAAATATGGTGATTTATAAAAGAAAGTCAACTGACGGAAAATACAGATGCCCTATCACGTGGTAATCTTTTTAATGTTTCAATCTGACAGATTATAGGAGCATCGAGAAGCAAAATATGAACCCTCATTCCGAAACATTTAAATGCTTGTCATTTTATACATTTACAGCTTTTCTGTCAGCTATTCGACAGACTCAAGTATATTCATGAGTTACTTCTATAAGAAGATAAAACATTTACATGTGTATATTTTCTTATTCGTGCCTAACAGAGTGTTATCTCCCTACTAGCAGTTAGCTTACCTTTGTTTTCTCTCATGAAGTCTGTGTCCCACAGGGTGCGGAACTGGAAGCTGGCATAAATATCTCCGGAGTGCAGAGGTCTGATGACCAGCTCTTCTTGGAAGTCATCTTTAGGCTGTGGTACCGACGAAGGTACCACTGTTTCAGGGGCAGAAGTGCCCTGAATGTCGGCTGCAGCATCAACCGTAGCGGCTTCTTTAACCTCGGTTGCTTCCCACCGTCTCTCCTCCACCGCGGGCTGGTCAGCCGTTTGTTCCGCTGTTTGTGCATTATGGTCAACCCCACCGTGGTGGTCATTAACTGGCGTCGTTTCATGAATGTCTGCGACAACAAACACGGACAAACTAAAAAGAATAAGCAGCCAAGACCACCAGCTGCACCTGTGAGCAGCCATTTCTCTCGAGGCGGTGGTTGACTTCCGCGTTAACGCGTCATGAGTAGAATCAGCCAATGAGCTGCTTCCATATGGAGCCATGGAGCCATGGAGCCATTCTTGGCACTGACATGAGGCTGCTTTGTTTTAAGCCAAAAATATTTTCTTAAAAAAAAAACATAAAAATAAATTAGGATGTATCTCATATATATATATATATATATATATATATATATATATATATATATATGCTAATATGGAATATGTTGCTGATTTATTTTAAGCAAATTCTAAAATAAAAAAAAATACATTTTAAAAGCGATTAGTTACATGTGAAGGCGGTAAGGAAGCGGTATGACAAATTATAATTTATATGTAGATTAGATAAATTATATTTATATCCATGTGAAGACAATAAATGAATCCATAGATAAATGTAAACTACAGTAAATGCACATAATATATCATATGTCAATTTGTGAATTGTAACCAATCAACCAATTACAGGCCTGAAAATTCTCAATTAATTTAGCCTATCAAACGTCTGCTCATCTTAATCTGTCATTTTGCAGCACTACCAATGCTGCTTGCAAATATATTAAACCTTATAGACCCTGAATAAATGGTGCTACTGGTGTGTTGCCAAAACTCATAAAAAGCTACATTAATAATTAATAAAGGCCATAAATTCAGGTTATCGGTGTGCGAATAAGCATGGTGCTCTGTTGCATATTTGGTCGCGTTGCTGGACAGGGATGGGCATCATCAACCCGTTGGCATCATCGGGGGCAAATCACCCCTCCCTCATCCACACATCATCGCGCACACAGCCCAGACTCACACGCACGCACACACACACACGCACATACACGCACATACACAAACACACACGGAATTTCGGCTCAGCCATGGCTCCCTGTTAGATGCTCAAAGCGGCTGTTGTCAGAGCGAATTAAATCTACTCTCGCTCGCTGCTTTCCTCCTGACCTTGCCTGCCTCCGGTTGGGTTTTTAATATTTTATTTAGGATTCCTGCGCTGCCTCCCCATGGCTACATCGGATGGACTAGACGGCTGTCTGCAGCGAGGCAGATCTCAAAGTGACCCGAACATACTCACCGAACCGGGCATCGAGTTGGCTCACGGCACAGGTAAGATAGGCGTTATTTTGTCTACATTCATCCGCTCCATATGCGAGTTTTTATTTTTATTTTATTTTATTTTTCTAAGGTTGCCGCTTCTTTGGCGTTGCAGACCTCCTTGTTTGCCTAGTGGGATGTCAGAACACTAAGGCACAATTAGCGCATATGCTCCCGACACTGGATGTAGAATATAACTGTAACGCTGAATCGTGGAGCTGCATGTTGAAGACGAATGCCATCTCAGCGTCTGTGAATGGCTGCATTCCCCACCAAATTTGCGCCTTACAAAGACGCCTGTAGCCCTTTTGGCTGATATGGATGCAAGTAGTATTTGGGAATCCGCGTGTTGGCCGTTTAATGTGATATTACCGTGTGCAACTTTTACTCTATTGCCTATCTATTCCCTTCCATGCTATCCCAACCCCTTTATAGTGAACCCATGCTATTTAGCATCACAAAATCTGCATGCATGTGTGGTCCATGATCCAAGCTTAACGAATGTGTTGTCCTGTCTGATCCACTGCTATAGCGTTGTTATTAAGAGAGATCCATGGAGGGATTCATGTTTTGACGTGTTGCATTAAAAAAGAAAAAAAAAAAAGCACATGCTTCTCTTATTGTAGGCCTATGCCTAGAGCTCTGTCCCTGTATTGACAGCACTGAATCCCCACCCCATACTGAACTGATCACTGCTGTGATCAATAGCCGACAATCCACGTGATATAGGCTATAGGTGGAAATGTACCCAACTTATCATCACAGCCTTGTACTGGTACAATCGGACTGGCCAGTTATTGATCCTTCAGGTGATCTTTCCAATATGGAGTCCTTGTTTGTTTCTCTGTGGGTTAGTCATCTAATGTTACTCATCTTTCTGCTTTATGGAAGAGGATAATGAATTAAACTTTCATTAATGACAGAACACCAGGGAGCACTCATGCCGTGCTCTCCTCTGGTGAGCTCCTGGAAGTGAATTTGGTTGTTGTTGTGCTGGAAGCACTAGTAGCCTATGCATTCACCTAAAATACACTGATGTATTTTCTTTCTTTTTTTTTACGTAAGTGAGACTATTTATGGTCATACTGTGTGGGTTTAGAAAGAGTCATTGCTTACACCCACACATGGCGAGTTTTACGCACATGAATGCTTGACTGAATGATTCAGAAAAAAAAAGCAGAGTAGTTCACCTTTCAACCTATCACTAACGAGACTCGCTTTTTCACATTTCCAAAATCACACCTGCCTGCACTCATCAACTGGCCATAGCACGTTTATAATGGAGCCTTGCTGAATTCAACCCTCCCAGGGATGATTTAATTCACACATAGGTGAATGTGATGATGTCACACTGGGTCTTTGACACACCTGAATAAACAACGCAGCAGTTTGGCGGATCAGCCAGGCCAGTGATGAGAGCTAAAGCTGTCAGGGAACGCTGAATGTCAGCCTCCATCCCTGGAGTATGCACAACTGCATCACAGTTTCAGACACGAGTATGCTACATGAAAGACGGAGTAAATACAGTTGTAACAGCAAGGACAATATCGGTGTCTGGTGGCCCAAAGTACACAGCATCGCCCACCCCTTCTCTGCGTGGATCACCACTGCACTAATGTCTGGGGCACTAGTCTTTGCCAAAGTAATCCTTTGGCAAAGACTGCCTTTTTTTTCTCCTCCCAATACAGTAGATCTCGCAGCTGCAGAGGCTTACAATGTGTTCATACACTTACTCAATACTGGGAGGAGAGTCAATAGAGACAACAGTTACAGCTGACCATCTCAGAAAATCAGAGTAGTGTTTCCTTTTTGAATGAGGCTGCAGTAATACTACAATACAGACTCACCCTCTCAGAGAAGGGCAAGTCGATCGGTCACATTGCAAGTGTCCAACAATGCAAATCCTACTGTCTTTTAATAAAGCGCACAGAGTGACATTGCATTGCTCTGTTGGGAGTTTATCTAAATTAAGGCAACCTCTTTGAGCAGCAGATTTACAAGAATGATTCAAAGTTACAGGAGCATAAGTCCAGGAACAGGAGCAGCAGTATAAACACGTTTAATCAGTTCATTTGGACAAGGAGCCCTTAGATTCCCCTGCTAATAAAATGTCACTTTCGCTCAAAGTTCCACTTAGTCATTGCAGAATGTCGACCAAGGTAATGGTGTGGAGAGGACACCTTGACGCTTTGCGGACAGGGAGCTTGTCCAAGCAGGGTTGTCCCTATGGCTTCGTTCCTCAAAATAATTCTTTTCCCCTGTAGAAAGATGCAAAGCTGGAGAAACAGTGGAGATGAGTTGAATCACACAAATATCAGCACAAGCAGATCTATAGTGCACATAAATCTGCAGTTAGAGACTATTTCTGTTATTGATTAAGTTGCACTTTTTTATTACTTTTTTTTTATTACAAAGAATACAATGCACATTACAGTTTCCAAAGTAGTTATCTTCAGACTGTTAAATTCAGTTCACAAAGTTACAAAACACAGAAAAGAAGAATATCCTCCTCATGAAGAAATCACGTCACATATCCACAGTAAATTCTAAAAATAAAAAAATATATTCAGATGTTTTTAATCTTTTAAATAATTTCTCAGTTTGTTTGACATTTCATTGATTAGCCAACTGCCCCTTCACTAAACATCATCCTTTGGCAAAAGACTGTAATAATTCATGGTGAAATCACTTTCACTTGCAACCCCTCCCCACCTGCAGCTATATACCACATTGCTCAAGACCACTTCTGGTCTCCGCTCACATGATGACTTATCCAATAAGTACCTGCTGATCTGTGTTTTTTTTCTCTCGTTTTGTTTTATCCTTCACTCCTGGTCTTACTGGTACAAGAATAATCCTCTCAGATCTGTCAAAAAAAAGAACAACTGAAGAATTCAGGTAAAAGGCGGGGACCTGCCTAATGAACAAGACGATATGTCAAACCCTGCGGAAGCTGATATTGAGCCATGACAATGACTCACCCCAAACCCGAGCGCTGTGTCATACATAATCCCTCTTATATTCAGGGCTTGGTGAGCAAATATGGGAAAGTATGAGTCAGCAGGTCTTATATAATGTTCTCGCAATTAACACAACATTGTTTGAAAGTAATAATGTAAACAAAAAGGTATTATTTCCACAGGAATTCCTTACATAACAATGGTTTAAGACCCAGTTTCAGATTTCAGCAAGTTGCGGCGGAATAAAGAAACTGTAATTACGTAACAAACAGAGATATATATGACCCTACCTTCAGAAACAGCCCTGCTTCAATTAAAAAAAAGGAACTTTGACGTTTTCAGGTGAAGAGAGGGTTAAAGATGCAAGAACATGGACTCCTTAGAAGTTTAAAAGACACTCTTAAAAGGAGACAACCCGGTGCTGGCAGGCGGCACATTTGAAGAATGTTTTTCGTTCAACTGTAATGAGGCAGTCAAGTATCTTGATGGTGTGGAAGAGGGAGATAAAGAAACGCTGGATGTGGCACAGCATTTGGTGTGGCCTTCAACTGGCGCTGGCTCTAAACAGATAATTACACGGCACACAGTAACTATCTAGCTATCAATCCAAACTACTGGTAGTTCATCAAGTTGTTGGGACGAGTTGTTGGGCTTGCCCGTGTTGACAGGTTTTGTGATGAGCAAAACTCCACCAGTATCTGGGGCAGTTTTATAATTATTTTCTATTCCGAGTAATTAACTGTAAATTAAACTGTTTGAAATTGCAGTTTTCATTTAAGACAGATTAAGAGGCAGGCGCTCAGCGGTATGTGATGCCATTACAGCCACACATTCTGTCTTCCTGTGAGTCTATTTTTTCCCCACCGAGTGATTGTCAACATCCTCAAGAGTGCAGAGAAAAGGGTGTGAAGTTGTTGTATTCTGCTGCGGGTCGTACGTGTTAAGTGGTTAAAACAAAAGAGAGAGCGACGGTGACCATGAAGTGGATACAAGTCAGAAAACAGAAAACGATCCCTCTGTTACAGTTTAGCCCGTGACACCATGCTGTCTGTGCTTAGATAGGTCGCCAGTATGCAAAACACAACCTCGAGTTTTATTCATGTGGTTGGTTTTTTGTGGAGACTTTTAATTTAAACAGGACATAAACTTCATCATGCACATGCAGCTCAATACTGGTCTCTCATTTTTGAATTTTGTTTGTTTATTTGTTTGTTTTTTAGCTGCGGTCAAGTTGAAAACTGTAAAACCCGAGAATCTAGCAAACTACATGCACACGTATGGCTGACATAAACAAGTTCAAGGGATCTGGATGGACAACGAGAACATATTGTTATAGATTTGCTCTTTGTTTAGAACCTGCAACTTTATCAGACTCAGCCAGGAAAGCTGTAATTCACGCTGAAGTCACGACTCATTCATCACGGTGAGCCTTAAGGGACTGTGAGTCAGTCAAGGCCACCTGTTAGTAGTAGCCACTGGAGAGCTATTCATTCTTCCCTCCACGATGCACAGAGGTCCCTTCAGAGGCCAAGAGAAAAAGTACATCTAATGTCAAGTTGAGAGGAGCCTTCTGGTTGCCATAAAAGGTATCTGTCATATTCAGAATCTCAACAAATATTGAGTCAGACTTTCACCCAGGAGCACTGTTAGTGCCCACATGTCATATATATATATATATGTATATA